GGAGGAAAATATGCAACAGTAAATGAATGGAAACCCAAGTTTTCTGTAAAGTTTTGTTAAAGTAGTAATAAAAAAATTTCCTTAGCACAAAAAAAAAAAAAAAAAAGAACCTCGATCATACGGATTATCTCAGTAAGGTCTTCTACCCCTAAGAAGGCCTCACGTTCTCTTCCTTACGCTGGTTTCTGACATGAGAATCCAAGCACCGGAGCAGCAGTGAGGAAAAACCTCTGCAAGTCTGGGGCTTCACGCAAGCTCTGAGTCAATGGGGACACAACAGTACATCTGCAGGTAACAGTCCAAAAGACACACTTGGTGGCTGATTTCTCCCCCACCTCCGTGAAATCAAACAGTACCGAGGTCACACTGCAGCCTGAGCTTAGAGAGGCAGACAAGTGTAGAGAATAGGTGAGGTTAACCAGATGCTACAGACTCAGTGCCAAGCTACTGTGACCCCCCGTGTCAGAATAGAATTACCCCAAAAGAGTACTGCTTATTAATCTATTATTCCCAACAGAAGTAATAGATAGGCTTCCAATAGTTTACTGTTAAGTAGATGGTGAGGCCTTTCTTTTTTTTTTTAATTATGGGAGTTACGTAAGTTTTATATGTTTGATACATGCCCCCATGCAGCTATGGAAAGCAGGCTATCACAAGGTACTGAGAGCTTACAAGAAGACAGGAGAGGCAAAAAACCAAAAAACAAACCGAAACCTGTTGCCATAAACTCAGCTCCAACTCCCAGGGAGCCTGCAGAACAGAGCAGACCTGCGCGGGGGTGGAGGTGGAGGGGCCAAGGCTCCTATAAATTTTTTTAATTTCTTTTTTTTGTTGTTGTTTGGTTTTTTAAATTAATTTTAATTGAAGTTTACAGAGACTTAGGGTTTCTATTCATTCACTGTTGCACTGGTCAGGCCTTTCTTACGAGGTGCCTCTGGGTGTACTTGACCTATAGTTTTTTGACAGGAGCTGAGCATTCCTGCTGTATGCACCACCCAGGGGTTCCTGGGGAGGGACAGTGAAGTGTGCTGGAAGACAGATGAAGTGTATGTCATTTGGAAGAAAACAAAAAATGTCAAACTGCTCACCTCAGAGGGGTATCTCAGGAAGTGGATGTAAGAGGTGGAGAGTGAGTGCAAAAAAAATGGTACCATGTGTAACTGCTGGTGAAAAGTAAAGTGCGCTGAAACACCCTGGTTACAGTAAAAAAAAAAAAAGGTCCCAAAGGAGCAAGGAGGACTAACTGGACCAATTCAACAATAAAAAGGGAAGAAAAATTGCTAAACTGGTCACATCAGTCCAAATCAACAGCTGATAAGCCCTCCAAGACAAGTAAGGGAGGGTTAGCCAATTAAAAAAAAAATACAGATTTTGGTTTGGTGAAACTACAAGAATTCAATAATTAAAAACTAATTTTTGTTTAATAATTAAGAAATTAAAATTGAGTGAGTTCTGGTGGCCTAGTGGCAAGAAGCTGCATTGCAATCCCAGAGGCACATGGTTCAAATCCACCAGATGCTCTGCTGGAGAAGGAGGGACAATCTCCTCCTGTACCTGTCAGATCCGATTTGACAGCACACACACACAAAATAATAAATTTAAAAAAAAATTAAATAAAAAAAAGAAAAAGATTTAAGGAAAAAGAAACTAAAATTGATTGCTGGAGAGCAGAACCACTCACAGCTGACCCTCCAGCGGGTAATCAGAGGCTATAAACTGCCCAGGAGACAGTCCTACTTTGTCTCTCAGAGCAGCTGGTGGATTTGAACCATCCACCTATGGGCTGGCAGCACACAGCTCCCTGTTCACTAGGCCACCAGAGCTCCCTAATAATTAAGAAGCCTTATGCAAATCGATTGTGACAAAGTAATAGACAATAATAATACTGTAGACAAGGTGAATGTAAGATAGCAAGAATCTTTTTCAAACCATAAGATAAACCAACATACGGTAAGGACTGAGTAAAACAGAAAACACATTCTGACAAAAATGACTGAGCTACTTCTTGAGGAAATCCTTCCAGCTACTTCATTCCTAATGGTATCTCTAAATGAGACCACCAATTAAGGAGGCCAGCTCTTAAGAGGATGGAGTCTCACATCATTCACTCCCATATCCCTGACATTCAGCTGGATTTACACATTTTATAGATGAAGAAAATCCATGGCCCAAAGAAGAGGCTTGTTCAAGAGTCGCTAGGATGTTACAAGCAGAACCAGGAAGAGAACTCCGTTTTCTTAACAGACCAGTTCAGGCTAGGTTTGCTTTGTTTTTATTTTAAAAACACCCACAGGTCTCTTGCTTGCACCACTCCCACAAGTTTTTATTAAAAATACAAATGAAACTTTTTGAGAAAGCACCAGATACCATTTGACCCAGCAATTCCACTACTGGGAATATACCCTAAAGAGATCATAACCACCAAACAAGCAGATATATGTACACCCATGTTTATCGTGGCTTTGTTCACAATAGCAAGGAGTTGAAAACAACCTACATGCCAACCAACAAACGAATGGATGGAGAAGAAGTGGTATACTCACACAATGGAATACTATACTGAATTGAAAAACAAGGAACTCATGCAATATTATTCCAAATGGGTGACCCTGGAGGACATTATGCTGAGTGAAGTATCTCAGTCACAAAAGGACAATTACTGCATAGTGCCACTGCTGCAGAATGGGACTGACATCAGGGTTAGGTTAAGAATGAGAAAAACTGGATGAATTATGTATACTGCATTGAAACCGACGAGGGAGAGAACAGTTTAAAAGTAATATGTTTTAGGGCATTATCACATTCATAAGAGTCCAGAATGAAGGTTGCAGAGTGGAGTATACTTGGGGTGGGGGAGGGGGGGTGCATGGGGATTGTATACCAATGAAGGAATTTTTCTTTTACTTTTCAAGGATAAGAGCGAACTGAGGGTAGGGGTGGAGTGGGCGGGAAAATTTCTGTAAATGTTTATTGAAATAAAAAAGAAAAAATACAAATTAAGATGTTGTGATCTTGCAAAAACCTTTCAACAGAAGTTGAAGGTTTCCTGGATGATGTCATCAAGGCCAGAAGAGTAATTTATCAAGAGTACTCGAGATTATTATGGTTTAATGACAAAAAAAAAAAACTAAAGAAAAGGGAGGGTGTTTATATGTAAATAAGCTTACGTACGTTGCCAGGGTTCACGGGGAAGGGGGACACGTCCTTCACATTGATCCGTTGGACATTTTCAATAAGCAAACCAAACAGAGGTAGGTAGAGCGTGGCTATCCTTGCTTGATGACTCTGAAATAAAGACACAGTTTTGAAGTTTTTGAACAGTTAATGAAAGCCTGAGCTGTCACTGGCCACACACCTTCATTTAGATCCCTCTTAGGAAGACAGAGAATTGATTTTATTACTTAAATGGGGGAGTCTTAGTCCGGTACAACTGGTTTTCCAGTTGGTTATTTTTTTACTATTACCTATAATCACCAAGCCTGTTTCTTTCTTTTTTTTTAAAATATTTATTTTATTATTTTTGTGTGTGTACGGTCAAATCAGATCTGACCGGTACTAGAGGAGATTGTCCCTACTTTGCCGGCAGAGTATCTGGTGGATTCGAACCATGCGCCTCTGGGATTGCAGTGCTGTTTCTTGCCACTAAGCCACCAGAACTCCCCAACAAGCCTGTTTCTGAATCTGGTATTTCTTTGCAGTGGGGACCACTCACCCTTGACGCGTATCTGTCATCAAAAGAATGCTTTATGAGCAAGTTCTTGAGTACGCTGATGGCAATCAGACGGACTTCCCGGAACTCCTGGAGGGCAGTCCCCACCTCCCGCAGCAACAGTCCCACCAGGAAGTGGTTTCTGCAGAACTCATCTGTTAACGAGTAGTCGAGCTGGAGATCTGAAATGAGGAGAGAGACAGGTAACACAACGTGGGTGGAATACAACTTTTGTTTTAGTCACTCTTCCCACCTGTATATCCCAACAGGTGATGACATTTAGCTTCAAATAAACTAGTCACCGCACTGGTTTATGACTTTGGAACACATGGCGTCCTACACAACTGTTCAGTTAAGGAATAGGGGTTTTTTTTTTCTTGTGTGTGTGTGTGTATCTGTGTGTACCATCAAATTGGATCTGACTGGTACAGGAGGAGATTGTCCCTCCTTCTCCAGCAGAGCATCTAGCAGATTTGAACTGCACACCTCTGGGACTGTAGTGCAGCTAATGTTGCCACTAGGCTACCAGAGCTCCTTGGAATAGTTTTAATAGCAATTTTTAAAAATTATTATTATTTTGTGTGTGTGTACCGTCAAATCAGATCTGACTGGTATAGGAGGAGATTGCCCCTCCTTCTCCAGCAGAGCATCTGGTGGATTTGAACCATGTACCTCTGGGATTGCAGTTCAGCTTCTTGCCACTAGGCCACCAGAGCTCCCTTTAATAGCAATTTTTATCATTGAGAACAACATGTGTTGTATTACCAATGTAACTTTGTTACAGACAAAATTATTGATCTAATTAATAAAATTACAGAGACGTGATTTGTGTATAACACACATACACACAATTAAGGAAGAACATGGACAGCCTATTAACATATTCTTCATTGGAGGAGTGCATTTATTCATTTACTGATCATTAATGCCTATCTCCAGAGTACTGATGAGCAATGACATCAGTCTAGAGACCAAGGTGCACCTGATCCTGGCCATGGTCTTCATAATTTCTTGCTATGCATCAGACAGCTGGACAAAGACTAAGGATGAAAGAAGAACTGATGCCTTTGAGTTGTGGTGCTGGATAACAGTACTGAATATACCATGGACTGCTAAGAGAACAAACAGGTATAACTCCAGCCTGGTGAGTGTGAAACCAGGCTGCTCCTTGGTAGCAAGGATCTTGAAGCTCCATCTGACATACTTCGGCATGTTGCAAGAAAGACCCAGTTCCTGGAGATGGACATCATGTTTAGAAGAGAGGAAGGCCCTCGATGAGACGGACTGACTCAGTGATTGGGGTCACAGGGGTAGGTGTGTCAGAGACAATAAGATAGGCACAAGATAGAGCAGGCTTCAGAGCTGTTGTACACAGAGTCACCATGAGTCAGAGTTGACTCGATGGCACACAACAACAACAAAAGGAGCTCTGATAACGGATAGGTTGGTAGTTCAAATCCACCAGCTGTTCAAGGGAGAATGCAGGTCACTCTTTGAAAAGGTTTCCTTGGAAACCTGATGCTGTAAGTTGGAAAGCTGGGAACTGGCTAGATACTTGTGGATGGCTTTGCTTGTTTTCGTGGTGCTGTTAGGTGTTGGGCTGCTAACTGAAAGGTTGGCAGTTTGAACCCACTAGCCACTCCTCAGGAAAAAGAAGCAGACTCCTTTTTGTAAGACAAAGGTCACCATGGCTCTGAAGTGGTCTTGATGGTAGTGGGTTTTGTTTTCATTTTATTTGTTTTAAATGCCTATACACTTGCAATGTTAAGTTAGTTAAAATACCATGTTTAAAACAAACATGTTATCATACCACCTATTTACTCAGATCCTGCTGAAAGAAGTATTTGTTTAATGCAGTATTTTAGAAAATATAGTCTTACTATTATGGTACCTTTAAGAGCAAATTTAAAAAAGGAAATCCAAACTAACATGAGAAAATCATCTCACTAAAGTATTAAATCATGTAATGATGAAATAGAAAGATCTGAAAAATGAGACAAACACGAAATCTGCTTAAGAAGGCTTTTTTTACAAGGCAGCTAAACAAGACGCTAATGCTACAGTGTACATTTTCTGTATGCTGTTGCCAAGGGTTGAATTGTTATACTGAACCCATGATTAGAGGAAACTCTGTAAATTCTTTGATTCCAATCCCACACTTTCGTTTCTATCCAAAACACTAATTCAAACCTCTCCAAAGAAGCAAAGGAAAGAGAACTCATCTTTCCAGAACAGTCTTGTTACTGCTTATGATTATTAAGATCAATTCTTCCAAAATCTAGTTCAAAGTTTGACTTCAAAGAAACTCTTCAGGAGGGAACTCTTTCTTTATAGGCTTAATTGCACACAATTTTGTGGGCATACACGCATGTGCATGAGAAATTCACAGAGGGAGAAGCAGGTAGGAAGGGAGAGGGGGAGGAAAAGGCTAAAAATAACAGACTTCTATTAGTACGGAGTTCCTGGGGGCACAAATGACTAACACGTTCAGTTGCTAACCAAAAGGTTCGCAGTTCAAGTCTGCCCAGAGGTTCCTAGGAAGTAAGTCCTAGCAATCTACTTCTGAAAAGACAGCCACTAAAAAGCCAACAGAGCCCAGTACTAGTCTGATATATGGTCACACTCTAGGTCCCACTCGATGCTGCTTGGTTTCTCTCAGTATAGCAAGGCAAATGATCAGTGCATAACACACACCCACTTGCCTGGGGCACCTCCTCCTCCTCCTCTTGGATATTATACCCCTGAGGACGATCAAAATGATGTAAAACACTGGGCGACTCCTCAACACAGGAGGAGGCTGAGACACAGGAAGGTCTCCATGGCCTACAGTAGGAGACAAGGGCCTTCTCCCAGGATCAAAAGGAGGGAGAAAGCCTTTCCCCAGAGCCAGCCTCCTGACTATGGACATGTTACCTCTGAAGCTGGAAAAGAACAGATTTGTTTACTAAAACCATCCACAGACCATCTCTGTTACTGCAGACTAGAGAACTAGGCCCAGGACACTTTATCCCTAGATGGTCCAAGGAATCCTTTACTTTGTCCCAATGTCATCTTCTCAGTGACATTGACAGTGAAATTGAAGCTTTGCCTGGCTGCCCTCTATCAATGTCAACCCCCTCATGACCTCTCATACTTCATTACTGACTTTATTTCTTTTAATACCACCATCTCCCTATTTTCCTTTTGTAAAACCTTCTAGGATTTCTGTCCACGATGTCCATGACCGCCCCTGACACTAGAGCAGTTCCTGAGACGGAGAAGGTCTGAGGAGGTACTTGCTGAACGAATGAACGCAAACTCCAGGGCATCATCTCCCCTCCCACTGTCCAAAAGGCAGGGCACGCACCTGCGTTAGGGCAAGGTAAGTATTTTGTGTGGCTCTCTGAAATTCAGAGGGAGTTAAGTGTTACTAGATTGGTTATATCCTCTCATATTTTCTCTCCTTAAGCACCTTAAAGTCACTAAATTCAATTAACACAACTGGACAGACCTGGTAGACTAACGTGGCTGATTCGATTGACTCACTGAAGATACAGGTCACTCTGGTGGCACAGTGTAAGGGGCATTGATAACCCCAAGGCCCTGCCTTTCCAACAGTTCAAACCCTCGTGTGGCTCCCCTGGGAGAGAGACGGGCAGGTTATTGGGATTTACAGCCTCAGAAACCCACTGTGGGTGAGCTACGAGTTGGTGCAAACTCTATGGCCACGAGTTTGAGTTTTGAATGAAGACAAACTAAACTTGTAAATACCGGACCAGAAAAGGAACATCTGTTCAGGGTGGGGGGGGAGCTCAGAAGCCAGAAAACGCAAGGACAGAAGGATGAATGGAAATGCGAATCCCAGGGAAGAAGCTCAGAGTGCTGTTATAACATGGGAACTCTAATTAATACCATAACCCCAAATCTGTATGAATGATTAAATAGAAGACCAACTGCTCTGTGAACTTTCACTCAATGCACAATAAAAAGATGGGGGGCTGGGGCTGGGGGGAAGGAAAGGGCAAACTCAGTGCTCTTATTTTCCAAATGTCTACCAGAAAGGTCATTCTAAATGTCTGCTGATGTAATAATATATGAGCAACGGCGGCCTCGGGAGACAATCAAAACCAGAGCTTCGTCCACAGATAATAAACACAAACAAGAGCAGAGGACTCCAGGGGAACCAGGATGCTAGCGATCTGTAGGGAGTCCGACTTCTGCTCTTTACTTTTTATTCCTATTTACCATTTACTTTTCTTACTTTGACTCATATTTTTTCCATTATAAATAAAAACAAGTAACTCCAAAGGCATTTCAAGCCAAAAGACATAAAGAGGCTACTGGAACATTTAAAAGATTCAACATGCAAACATGGCAAGCCTGTGAGAAGCCGGCTGCGTTCACACGTAGATTCCTGTGACCACCGGGCTATGGCAACGGGGGAAGAATGAGTCGTTTGGGTGAAGCAGGGCTTTTTGTTTCTTTTCCTTCTTAAAGAAACACCCTAGAGGATCTAGTGATCACAGGGGGAAAAAAACTACTAGATACTGCCCGGGGATGATACGGCAAGGTCTCAGCAACAGTGAAGGCGAACCCACTGGTTTACGATGAGTTTACACGATGATCAAAGGAGACTGGAAATAGCGACGTGAACAGCATATGTCAACATGTCAGCAACCACTTGCATTCTTTTTAAAGAAGGGAAATGCAAGAAAGCCAGCATCACACCCCACACCTACCTACAGGAGTGTCATTTGACTCCACAGTTGGTGAAAGAAAGGCTAATTTGTAAGGGGAAAGAAAAGTGGAACAAATGAAAATAAACTGTAATGAGTAAAATGGATGTCTATTACTTAAACAAAGGATTTTTCCCCCCAGTGAAGACCAGCTGTATAAGACTAATCTGCAGTTTGATAAGTTTGTTGAGTAGTAGGTCTCCAAATAGCATTTCCATCAACCATTTTTCAAAATGAAAACGTAACACGAAACAAATTTAATTCATCACTGAAACATTTAAAAAAAAATTCAAATGTCACATTTGAATCAATTATCTTATAAAATATAAATGCCCCTCTCTGTGAAAAGATTAAGGTTGCCATAAAGAAAGATTACCTTGGTATCTCTGTATCCGGCCTTTTCCAAACGGCATTGGCAAATTCAAAGGAATATAATGTTCATGATTGCACACTACACGGAGAAACTCAAACTTGTATTCAAAAAGTGTCTAGAAAGAAAAAAAAAATTTAAAGTCACACAAATACTCCCAGCCGTTAGCTCATTAACCTTCTCAGAACAAAATTCTCCATGCCATTTTAGAGAGGTCTGGTGGCTCAGTGGAAAGGAACTGGGCTCCTAACACAAAGGTATGCAGTTCAAATCCACCAGCTGTTCCACAGAAGGAAGGACAATCACCTCTCATATGATTTACTTGCTCTGAAAACCCATTGGGGGGCTTTTGTTGGTCATGTAGCGTCGAGATGGAACTGACCCACAGCAGACCTTCTGGCGGGTTTTCAGAGGCAGTTAATCGCATGGGAGGAGATTGCCCGTCCTTCTTCTGCGGAGCAGCTGGTGGCCTCGAACCGCATGTCTGTGGGACTGCAGAACAGCTTCTTGGCACTAGGCCACCAGAGCTCCCTTTGGACCCCCGTACACGCTATTACACATGTTATTAGACTGGGGGAGCTAGACATTGTATTAATTATGTCTATATAATTGGTTCTATGTCTATAGAACCAATATAATAAAAAAAATTAACTGGACAAGGTCAGGGAGCTCTGACGGCCTAGGAGTCAGAACCTGCACTGCAATCTCGAAGGCACGTGGTTTGAATCCTCCGCAGGAGGAGGATGGACAATCTCCTCTCACATGATTAACTGCCTCTGAAAACATTCTGGAGGGTCAGTTATGAATCAGTTCTTGAACCCTCCACACCCCCCCCCCCACACGATAAGGTTAAAGAAAAAAACCCAATCAAAAACTAAGAGAGGAGACAAAGAGAAAGACTTCTATCAGATAAAGCAACGTGGTTACTTGTTAAATAAAGTACCATTCTCAACACTTACACTGCCCTGGTGATACAGAGGGATAAGAGCTGGGCTGCTAACTAAAGCGTTGATTGTTCAAATCCACTGGCCACTCCATGGGAGAAAGATGTGGCCAACTGCTTCCATTTTTATACCCTTGACAACCCCATGGGACGGGGCTACTCTATCCTACAGGGTCACCCAGGTTCATACCCAGAAGCCTATGACCATGACCGAGGGCACTTTTAGTTTTGCTACTGAGGGAGCTCTGGTGGCCTGGGGGTAAGAAATTATGCTGCAATCCCAAAGGCAAGCAGTTTGAATCCACCCGCTGCTCCACAGTAGAAGGATGGACAATCTCCTCCCATGAGATTTACTGTCTTTGAAAACCCGCTGGAGGGTCAGCTCTGGGTCGGTTCCGATTTGACAGTTCACAACAACAAAAACAACAAGTAATTCCAAGTGTTTATATGAAAACCAATGGGCATGTTTATATCTCTTTGGGTGTTAATGTGTCCCTCATCTCTCTCCCTGGATGATGCAAATAGTTGAACATTTGATGCTCAAATGCTAACACAAAGATTGGAAGTTCAAGACCACCCAGGGGTTCCTCAGGAAGTGGTGATCTACATCTGAAAAAATCAACCCCTGACAGTTCTCTGAAGCACTGTTGTATCATGACAGGCATGGCATCATATCTGCGCATGAGCCTGAAGTGACTATCAATTGATTCCTCTTTCAAGCTAGCATACACATAAACAAAGGTATCTCTAAGAGAGGAGTGGGATTCTGAGTCAGAATGCCGGAACTCAAAGAATATTCCGGTATGAACTGGGAGACATGTGGAACTGCCGAGGTAAATAAGAGAGCAGAAAAGTAAGCAGAACTAACTTCCACATTACCTTCGGGTCTCCAGGAGCAAAGCAGCTGATGTAGTTGTTGATCTGCTTGAAAACAAAGCCTCGGTCCATAAAGGTGAAACATCGCTGTGGGAGAAACACCCAACAAAATCATCATTCTGTTGCAGGCCTAAACTTTTGGAGGGCTTGTTTTCAAATCAGTGTTTACTGTTAGTAAGCTTATCTTTTTAGTCTGAGGTCAGCACTGACTGATCACCTGGCACACCAGTCAGTTTCTCTGCTAGAGAGTTACGTGGAAAGACCCTTCAGGTCATCTAAGAGCATGCTTGCTCCGAAACCCACCTTGATGAAGCTGGCAAGGCTGTGGTTCGCGTTCTTAGAGGCCTCTGGGTTGTCTCGAAACTTCTGCGTGATGTGTGGCATCAGCATGTTAACGACCGTTTCCACTGCGTGATGATATGATGCAGGAAACCTCTGGTTCCGTAGCAACTAAAAAGAATTGGAAGCATAAGTTATCTTTTTGGAACTGTGGAAGAATTAATGCAATGAGCTGGACTGCACACTTGAAAATGGTTAAAGGACACATTTTATGTTATTTATATTTTACTACCATAAAACCAAACCAAGCAGCTCAATGAATTTTATTTTGCCTTTTTAAGCCAAAGGGATTTCGTTCTTTATGAATGGCTAGTGACTCTGCATCCTAAGATGTCAGCCTCAATAAGTGTTGAGCCTCTATGATCCCAGGCAAGGCCAGCTCTAACCACCAAGCATGACTGCTAAGCCACCCAAGCTGGCCACTCCTGGAAAAAATGTCTCTCAAGAGTATCTGTGGCTTCCAGAGAAGGGCTGAGTCAGTGCTTGCTAAAACTATTAGATGGAAATGGCCTGAGGAACACAGTAAGGCAGGTATCAAATAGGCATCACCTCAACCCATGAACCTGTATTATCATGACTGTAAGTAGGACAGACAGACTATGTCTTCTTATCTGATGCAAGAGAATAGACCTATGAAGTATATACTTGCCAAAAAGAACAGAACATTTTAATCAAAGCTATCCTAGATACAATAACAAGTTCATAGGAAACAGGATATATGAGCGGCTTCAAGGTTACTGTCTACTAAATCTAGACTGTGGAAAACACAACAACCGACCCACTTTCTTAAACAAATACACAGCCCCCAAAAGAAACAAACAACAGCAGAAGCACAGAGAGGGAACAGTTGAAGATCAAAACACTTGAGAAACACCCCAAGCACATGTATCCTGTGGGCCCTACTTTGATCTGAGTCAAACAAGTCACCTGTAAAGTAACAATGCTGAGACCACTGTGGGCAGAAGAATCCCGACTGGACTTTCAGAGGATAATGAAGAAATTCTAGTGGTTATGGAGTTGTGCAATTAACCCAAACGCAAGTGGTTTGACTCCAGCAGCTTCTCTTTTGGGAAAAGATGGGCAATTTTTTTTCCATGCTATTTATAGCCCGGAAAACCCAATGGAGGGTCAAGTATGAGTTGATTCAATGGTGAGCTAATCATTGGTAACCCTAACCCTAACCCAACCTAACTCAATGATGATGGGAGGAGAGAGGAGAAGGAGAGGATGAGAGAGAGGGAGTGAAAAGGGAAGGGGGAGAGAAAGAGGAAAGGGGGGAGAGGAGGAGAGGAAGAGCAGAGGGAAAGAGGAGGAGATAATAATAAGATAATCTTGTTGAATGTGTGATGATGGTAGAATGATTGTTTCTCTCTATTAGATACTCTGAAATTAACTAATACAATGGGGATTGCTTTAAAATACAATCAGGAAAAAAAGGATGTTTGAAATAAGAATGACATCATGTTGTTAACTATTAAAGCCTGATAGTATTTCATGATACTTATGCCCTATTCTTTTATGTCTACTTGGAAATTTCAGTGATGCAAGACTATTTATGTTTTCAATTAAAATGAAAGAAAAGTGGGAGAAAGCAGTGGCCCCAGTGATCCCGAGAGGAGAGCTCCACACCCCAAAGGCTGAGGGAGAGGCAGCCCTATGTGTGTGATGCACAGCTTTTGTGAGGAGTCATATTTTGGCGGAAAACACACTAAAGCTTTTGATGAGGTGAGACACACAATTCAGGTAGTAAGAACGAAGCAATTACATGTTTTTATGGGGTTTTATCATAAACTGAAATGGAAGGGGAAATGCTTGGTGACGAACTGATGTCCAGGACAGGTGCGTATAAAAGCACTGGCTCAGAGGAGAGGGCATGGACTTGAAGAGGTTTCTGGCCACACAAAGCCTCCATTCTCGCCCCATGTTCTGCTACAGGATCTCTGGCCAGCGCTGGTGCAGCGTCCCCACCCGCCCTGCCACCACCATTTGTTCCTCTGACAAATGCTGCCGAGGTGGGGTCGGCCTGCCCAGCACCTGTCGACATGAGATCAGCCTCCTCCAGCGGACCCGCCGTGACCTCCGTTCCCTGCCCAGCTGCAAACTGGACACTTACGTGCCGTCCTACTGGCTGCTCAATTCCAGGCACCGAACGCCCAGACTGACAGGGATGTGCCTGACCACACGCACCCAGCCGTGCTGCAGGGTCTCCTGCAGGCCCTGCTGCTGACCGTGGAGTCTGGGGAGCCCCAGGGATGCGCCACGCCGTGCCTGCGCATGTCACACCATGCCTACAGGCGCCACACCACGCCAGCATGCGCCACGCTGTGCCTCTGTGCTGTCTTGGCTCCAACAATCGCTGCTGCCCAAGTCACTGCCTCACGTGTAAGGACTTCTGAATAGGCTTGGAACTGTCCACTCTCGGCTCCTTCCTGTACTTTTCCACATTCCTGCGGGGTCTGCTGTCAGGGGCCACCAAGCTGTCTACAGCTCACAGAGACTCTCTGAACAACAGCTCTGAACCCTGTCTACCTTGTACGACCCTCACAAGCTCTGACATGCTCAAGCCCACTGTTACTGTATCAACCTGTCTTGTTAGGGGTCTGGGGGTTGGCAACCTCTCTGGTGCGGGCTATTTTTCTGCTTTGTGATATATAATTATCAGTCAATAAATTGCATTTTTATGGCATAAAAAACATAAAAGTAATGAGGCTGAGAAGGCATTTGCCAAATGCTATTTTCTAGTCTCTGGTTCCTCTCCTTTATTAAAAACTTAAGTTCATTCTTTTCCATTTCTCCTTTAACTTCTTTCTGCCCCTATCCTCTTACGATTTCCGCTCAGAGAGTCCTCTCTAATTGATTTTGTTTCTCTCAGTACCCTGCTGGGTCCATGAGCATGGCGTCTCTGGTCTGCACTTCAGGGAGGGTCATGGCCCAAGGCCCCAGTGCTCTGTAATCTATTGCTGCATCTGTCCCATCTCCACCCTGCACAGGTCGGTCCCAGCCTGTGACAAAATATCAAGAATGCTAAGGACCATGCTGTAAGACATGGGGCCGCTCTGACAGCAGGTTTTGGTAGAGACGACCGTCCAACGCCCCTTTAAAGCCCCAGGGCAGCCTGAATAGGTTTCTCCCTCCCTCTTCCTTCACCTTGACTCAGACTTGCACTGTAGTCTGGGGGCTTTTTGACTGCTGGGCTGCCCAATTTCCTTACTCACTCTCCTCAAAATCTCTCAGATGGCTAGTCCATCTGACAATCCAGACTAATGCAATCCTGTTCCCAAAACGATCCCAAGAAGAAAAGTTTAGGCTTAAAGTTTCAGCAGATGGGTGGGTGTTCACAAACGTCCCTCATGTGTTCTGTTGGTCTGGTTTCATTTCTTGCCCAAGTTGGAGTTTCCACCTGCCAACTAGAAACTTCTGTTTGGCTGTCACTGCTGGTTACGTCCCATTATCCATCCTCCCTTATTTCAGATGGTAAAGGAACCTCAATTTTTTAACCAGCCACCAGATTATTCCAAAGACTCTATTTCCAAGTATTCTTTACATCTTAGTGGGTTCATGAGATAAAGTCTGGCCTATGGGCCAGATAACAGAGGCAATGAAGGTGCAACACCTGGGTTACCTCCCGTAAAGGGAAGTGGTATGTCTTCCTTCTTTTCCCCTCTTACTCCCTCCTGGCTCTCATGTAGATGTGGAAGTGCATGCAGTTTCACTCACAGGATGAGACAACAAACAAGATGGAAAAAGTCTGGGCACCTGATAACGCTGCAGAGAAGAGCTCTCATATTAGTTTGAATTTTTGTGTAGGAAGAAATAGAATTTATGCACATATCGTGGCTTTGCTCACAATAGCAAAGAGTTGGAAACAACCTAAGTGCCCATCAACACACGAATGGATAGAGAAGCTGTGGTATATTCCCATAATGGAATATTATGCTGCATTGAAAAACAAGAAACTCATGCAATATTATTCAAAATGGGTGACCCTGGAGGACATTATGCTGAGTGAGGTATCTCAGTCACAAAAGGACAAATACTGCATAGTGCCACTGTTGTAGAATGGGACTGGCATCAGGGTTGGTGGGGGAAGACTGAGAAAGATGGGATAAATTATGTACACTGCATTGAAACAGATGAGGAGAGAACTGTTTAAAAGGGATATGTAATTAGGTATTATTATCATGTATCATGGCAGGAGTCCAGAATGAAAGCCGCATAGTGGAGTGGACTTGGGGGGAGGGATTGTATAACAATGAAAGAATTTTTCTTTTACTTTTCAAAAGAAGAGTGTACTGGGGGGAAGGGGTGGGCAGGGAGAAAAGTGCAACAATGAATGGAAATTCAAAGATTCTGTAAACTTTCATTAAAATTAATAATAATAAAAAAGGGGGAAATACCCTCCCCAAGCCACAACAGATCTGGACAAAATAAAAATTTTAGTAACATAAAAAAAATAGAAGTAGAATTCCCCCTTCTTAAGTCACTATCAGATTTCTGCCATAGCAACTGAGCCTACAGCCTAACACCCTGTAGGTCTAATATTATATGTCAACATGGCCATGATTCTTGTGGTTACGTGCTGTCGAACTGCTTGTGACTCATAGTAACCCTGTGTACAACAGCTCTGAACGCTGCGCTATCTTGAGCCAGTATTGCCATCTCCCACACACCTAATCCCATTACCCCGTCACTGAGTCAATCCATCCCATCCAGGGTCTTCCTCTCCTGTGCTGTCCCTTCACCCTTCCAAGCCTCTAAGGACCTTCTCTCCTGGCAACGTGTCCAAAGTATGTGAAATGGAGCTTCAAAATCCTTGCCTCACAGAGCAGCTTGGTTTTACCCTCTCCAAGCCAGTCCTGTTCGCTCTCTTGGCAGTCCATGATATGTTTAATACTCTTCTCCATCATCCAAGGCATTGATTCTTCTTCTGTCATCCTTAGTCATGGTCTAGCTCTTTGATGCAGAGCAAATAACTGCATAATTGCAAAGACCGTGGCTTATAATGTGATTTAGCCTGAATGCTGTAAATTCTAACCTTATAACATTACTGGGGCCAGATTTGGTTCTGTAAAGACACAGTCAGCCTTCTCTGATAAAGGCGAAGTCTCCTT